GCCACCACACCCAGCTTACAGGCCTTGTATGATGATTAATAAAAACCTTGTAAAGGGTTTAAAGCAATGTCTCCTCTCTACTAAATACTGTATAATTCAGTGCAAAATAAAAACAAAAACCAAAGTAACAAGGGGGGAGTTAGTTTCATCTGGATAAAGGTTGGGAGGGTGGATACCTCAGAGCTGATGTGAGCGTGAGACTCAGGGTTTCCAGGGACCCAAGTTCCTCCCAGTTCACCACTCGGACGTCACTAGGGTGTGGGCCTCGTGTTCGTGGCCCAGAGAGAAGTAGCCACACACAGGCAGCAAGACAGAGGCATGACAAAAGGGCCCAAGAGCACCTGCCAGGCATCCCTGAAGGTATATTCCTTGAGCTGCCCCCAGGGAACACCTTCTATCTACTTTTCATTGGCCAAAACCTAGTTGCAAAACCTGGAAACTTGTAAATGTAGGCTTTTTTTTTTCTTTTTGAGTCAGAGTCTCCCTCTGTCACCCAGACTGGAGTGCAGTGGCACAGTCACGGCCACCGCACTCTCGACCTGCAGGGCTCCGGCGATCCTTCCACCTCAACCTTCCAAGTAGCTGGAACTACAGGTACGCACCACCACACCCAGATAGTTTGTTCATTTATTGTAGAGACAAGGTCTCACCAAATTGGCCAGGCTGGTCTCCAATGCCTGGGCTCAGGCAACCCTCTCACCATGGCCTCACAAAGGGCTGAGATTACAGGCGTGAGCCACTGCGCCAGGCCTGTAGCCTTTTTTCTAGATGGCCGTGTATCAGCTACAAGTCTTTGAAAGAGGCTATCACCAATAGGGAAGGGGGAAGTAATTTTAGTAATTTCCAATGTTCTAGAAATTATTATATGGTTTAGAAACTGAATGAAAGGAAGAAAATAAAAAGGCTTCCGTCCATCTGTATCTGCCTGTAATAGACACGGCGGATCTGTCATCACCGGAGAAACAGAGAGTGCAGGATCAAAGAGGGGTAGGAAACAAACCCCAGGCACAATGTACTCCTAGCTTCTAAAGTCTGCCCTTCAAAGGGGGCTCAATGCAGGACCATCACCCTACACTAAAGCTAATTGGAGAAACTAAGTGGGGCCAGGTACAGTGGCTCATAACTGTAATCCCAGCACCTTGGGAGGCTGAGGCGAGGATCACCTGAGTCCAGGAGTTTGAGACTGGCCTGGGCAATGTAGACAGACCCTGCCTCTCCCAAAAAAATAGAAAAGAAAAGAAAGAAAATTTATCCTGGTGTGGTGGTACACGCCAGCAGTCCTAGCTACTGGGAGGCTGAAGCGGGAAGATCGCTTGAGATCAGGAATTTGAGGCTGCAGTGAGTTGTGTTTAGATCTTATTTCACCATAATTTTTTGCACATAGGGACTACAGGCACACACCACCAGGCCCAACTAATTTTTTGATTTATTGTGGAGACGAGGTCTTGACGTGTTTCTCAGGTTCTAACAGCTATTTGAATTATGGATTACAGTAACTGCACTCCACACTCCAGCCTAGGTGACAAGTAAAACCTTGTTTCTGAAAAAGTAAGAGAAAAAACAGTGGCATGCTATAAACTGCTTAGACATACTCATATACAACTTCTTTGGCCTTCTTAGTCAGTAGAGGGATGGATTTTACCATGAAATCACAGTTGGTGGTACAGTATCAGGTGTGCAAAGGTATTTAGTAACCTGGATTGCTAAATAGATTGGAAAGAAACGGTGGGCTGAGATGTCATTTTGGGCCCCTTATCACAGCCCTAAGACTAATTTGAAAAGAAACAGAAAAACAGTTTTCCCAAAGGACAACTCATCTCATTTTCCAGGGACCAATCAATGCTGACAATAACCCCTTCATTCAGTTGGAGATCAAGACATTGTTCTTGAAAAGCCAAGGCATATACTCTGCTGGGGAAAAAAACAATCCCGTTACACAGTGGAAATTACACCCTGGGGGCTCTTGTTGCTATTTAAAGGAGTGTCCCCATGTGTTCTTCACACACACACACACACACACACACACACACACACACACACACACACACCCCTTACACCTTTCTGCTCTTATTACCTTTAAAAAGGCAGGATCCATCCTTGTGGCCTGTAAATTACAGATCTTGCCACCAGGTGGCAGGAGTAATCAACATCAAAAAGCCAAATCTCCTAGTGGACCGAGAAAATGTCGGGATTCCAGAAAAGACCACAAACAGAACAAATCGGAACGGTTGTGTGAACCAGAAGGCTGAGGCTTGAGAAGATGTGACCTGCCCAGTGCCACACATGTAATTAGGGACCCCAAGGACTGGCCACACAGTAACCTGTGTGCTGCTACTCTACCAACTAAGGCAAAGCTTTATTTTAATTTGATATTAAGGAAAATTTCAGCATTCATCAAATTAGGAGAAAGGTCAAATGAGTCCCTAAGTACCTGTCGGCCAACTAAAGCGATCTATCATCTTCCCATACTATATGCATATAATCTTTCCTTCAGTTATCTAGTTCTCTCTCTCTAGATATATTTAATAAAAGTGTAATATGCATCTATATAGATTATTACTATTTTTTTGAGTTGGAGTCTCACTCTGTCGCCCAGGCTGGAGTGCAGTGGCATGCTCACGGCCACCACAGCCTCGACCTGCTGGGCTCAGGTGATCCTTCCGCGTCAGCCTTCCAAGTAGCTGGAACTACAGGCGTGTGCCACCTAGCCTTCCAAGTAGCTGGAACTACAGGCGTGTGCCACCATGCCCAGATGCCCAGATAATTTTTTGATTTTATTGTAGAGATAAGGTCTTGCCAAGTTTCCCAGGCTGGTCTCCAACCTGTGGGCTCAGGCAATCCTCTCACCCCTACCTCCCCAAGTTCTGGGATTACAGGCGTGAGCCACCGTGCCTGGTTAGAGCTGTATTTTTATACCAAGTACCTAAAGGCACTACATTTCTGTGCTACTGCAACATTAAAATGACTGGTTCGTTGACCAGGCATGGTGGCTCACACCTGTAATCCCAGCACTTTGAGAGGCTGAGGCAGGAGGATTGCTTGAGCCCAGGAGTTCAAGATCAGTGTAGGTGACAGAGAGAGACCCCATCTCTACAAAAAGTAAAAATTAAAAAATCAGCGGGAACCGGGCTCAGTGGCTCAGCCTGTCATCCCGCGCCTTTGGGAGGCTGAGGTGAGTGGATTGCCTGAGCCCGCGGGTTCGAGACCCGCCTGGGCAGCGAGACCTCATCTCTACAATAAATCAAAAAATCAGCCGGGCGTGGTAGCGC